ACGTATTTTATTATTTATTCAAGTGAGACATGTCATTGTTATACATTAGTCAACAAATTACAATTTACGTAGGATGGTTTCTTGTCATTGCTGGAATAAGTGGAAATGGATTAAATATTTCGATATTCACAAGTGTTCGTAATTATCGTCAAACTCCTTGCACATTTTATTTTCTTATAACTTCAATAGACAATATTATTGTTCTGATAGTTAGTCTTGTTTCTCGTATATTCATTGCAGGTTATCATATCGATTTAACTCTTACATCACCATTCTGGTGTAAACTACGAGCATATCTCATAAATGTCCTTACATTAATTTCTTTTACTTATTCATGTCTGACTTCAATTGATCAATTTTTAGTTACATCAAGAAACGCTAATATTCGTCGTTTAAGTAATATCAAATGGGCACATAGGATTATGTTAATTGTTATCATTGTATGGTGTTTACATGGTATACCTCAAATTTTATTCTATGATATTTCATCAATAACGCAGACATGTCAGATCGTCAATGTTAAATATTCTATTTATGCTTCAATATATGTTCTTAGTCTTACTTGTGTCATTCCAATCGTAGTGATGATTGTATTTGGATATTTAACTTATCGTAATATCCATTTAACAAGAGTGCTTGCTGAACAACAAGCTGATCGTCAATTAGTCCGAATGACTTTGATGCAAGTAATTCTAGTTGTGATTTCTATAACTCCATATGGAATGAATAATGTTTATGGTTTGATTACATCTTCAGTTAGTAAAGATCCAGATCGGACAATAAAAGAATCATTTATATCGACAATGTTTAGTTTATTAGCTTATGTCAATTATGTTGTATGTTTATTAGTTTTTTTTCGAGTATCTATCTTTTTCTTTTAGGGAAGTTGCTATATGTTTATGATTTCATCACGTCGATTTCGTCGACAAATAAAAGATCGAATCTTTTTTTTGGAAAAGACAAAATCGAATAATTCCGTTTCAACTACCTACACTTAAAAGAGCAACATCAAATATCAGAGCAAAGAATTAAAAAGAAAACATTCGCAGTTTTTATCAATTCCTTCAATTTTAATGGATTAATAATATCAATCTTATTGAACCGAATTAAATCAATTTCTATCAGATTTAAGATTATGATTCAGTCGAAATATTATAATCGTGATCTTTCATTTGTTCTTCGTGTATTTATGCAGGCCATTTTCTCTATCTTATCTAGAAAATATGTCATCAGCTGACTCTAGTTCATTCTGTGCTCTCTTAGCATATATAATGACTCTCTTCCTAATTATCCCTGTTATTTTAATCTATATAAGTCGTTTCGAGTTCCGTAATAAACATGTTGTTTTCATAGAGAATCATCTATCTTCACTAAGACATGGTTGTTCTCTCTGAGCAAGCCTCACAATATGTTTATCAGTTTTGACATTTTATAAAATACATCAATTCATGATCATAGAAAAAAATCAAATATAATAATAACAATCGTAGATCATTAATGAACGCTGAAACAATAAGAAACAGAAAGTTTCTGGATGTTTGATGACTGCAGAAATTCAAAAAATGCACTTTATACAATGTGTTTTGCTAGAGTATGTCTAACGATAATTTTTCTTCTCTATGACTTACTAGATTGTTTCTTAAAATAAAACAAGTTTCGCTTTTCTACTCAATATCTTATGATATATATATAACAAACTCGTCAACCCTCAAACAACATTAGATTTGAATGCTTCATTTGAAGAAAAGGTAATAATTATCATTAGAGAGAGTTTTCAAGCTATAATAATTGTTAGTATTTCGATAGAAACGCGGCCAAGCATACAAAATTAGTCGAATAATTAACAAAAATAATAGTTTACATATAAGATTAAAAGAAATCTTTCTTATTTTTTATTTCTTATTTTTCATCATCTCACAAATGAACACTACAACTATTTTATTTTCTTTGCCAAACGATTCTAATTCTATAACAATAAATAATCAATCATGGTTTATTCCTCTCGATATTATATTGATTGTATGCCTTACCTTAGCTTTTATATTGAGTTTAGTATTTTTATGTATTATTTTACTTGATAAAACATGTCATACAGTTGCAATGATGCTTGCTGCTAATTCATGCTTTGCTGGTCTTTTCTTTACGTTTACTTTAATTTGGATGACTATCGTTTCACTTCACAATGATCTTAAACAAATTCAATATGAAGATCCACCTTGTAAATTTCGAACTTATATTAGTTATTCTGGTGTTTGTGCATTATTTTATTCTTATTTATTACAATCAATTTATCGGTATATGCTGGTTGTTTATCCTACTCGTTTATTGTGGCAATCAACAAAATTTCAATTTTTCCTCATCATTTTAACGTGGATAGCTGCCTTCGTAGGTACTTCTCCATATATACCGTCTGGTGAGATTAGATATCACGTTGATGATCAAATATGTCAATTGTATCTTCATGTTTCTATTATATTAATTTATGATGTACTGTATGTCTATATAATACCAATTAATTCTACTATATTTATCTATTTCAAATTGGTTCGTTATGTTAAACAAATAAACAGACGTACGACACATGCAAACACTGTATCGCGTGCACAAAAAGAATTACGAATGGTTCATCGAATAGTTATTATTGTATTAATCTTAAATATACTTGGTTTGCCTTATTTAATGTTCGTAATTATGGGATTATTTACTCAACCACCAAAATATCATTTTCGTATTGCTTTTACATTTGTCGATATATCATTACTTTTGATTATAATTGCTTTATTCAGATTTACAGATCCCGTTAAAGCATCAGTTCTGAAAATAATAAACAAACAACCAAATATAGTGGTAGTGCCAGCGATATAAATGATCGAAATCGAACAACTATATAAACAATAAATTTGTTTGATATTGTAGTGTCCTTCTGTTGTTCATTTACATTACCATAATAAATTGCAATATTTATTGAAGCAAAGAGAGCTAGAATCTACAGAGGGAAGGCGTTGACATATATACACTTCATTTAACAAGAAAGCAGTGACTATATTTAGGAAATGAACGACATATAAGATATGGTATTATCCGAGAGGAAAGAAAAAAAAATTACAAATTATAGAAGAACGCGCAAAAGTGAAAGATGATAATAATAGATCGCGTCACTTCATAACAAGAAGTTTTTATTTTAGATCTAAATTGAACACTTACACAGTTCTGCACATACAAATATAACTACATACGGTAGTATTGGACAGAAACATCATTCTACATAAGACAGCCGAATTTAATCATCGATTATCATGACATGGTATACTTATATTTATGTGACATTACAAAAAAAAATAATTTTAAAATAAATACATTAGTCTTGTATAAAATATAAACAAACATAGAAAAAATCAGGTACAGTCTTTTAATTAGATTCTAACTCAAAATTACATCATTGCACAAGTATGCCTATCATAACTTCGGCTTCTAATTGAGCAAAACTTTGTCCAAGACAATTACATAGTCCAGTTACCAATGATAATTAGTCGAAGTTGAAGCCGAAGAATTCTAGTGCTCCGATTGGCTAATATATTGATGAACATTTAGCGCTATTCATCTGTTCCGTAAAAGCATCCCATATCATATTTAATTAAAGTGAGAAAATAAGTATAATTTCTGTAGATGAATTATACAGCAATCCGATATTATGAAACATGTACTAATATCCGATGTATTACAAATTTTCATTCTTTTTTATTAAAATGCATCTCTTTTTGATAAAAAGTCGATTCGCATTCAATAAAAGACATTGTTTATTATTTTATATCTACTATTTTTTTATTATAAAAAATAACACAGTGCAACAAAAACATTTACACAACAAAAAAAATAACAAGTTTACTAAATAAAACAATTACTAATAAATTTTTCTTTTCTTTCCTCTTTGATTAAGTTTAGCTTTAGAACGTGTTTTAATAGGGTGTGGGTGTATATATAATATATCAAAGTAGTCAGAAAATATGGTAATATTTAAAAGTTGCTAACCTGTTTTGATTACTTTTATTATCATTAACATATTTATTTTCACTATGTTCATTTTCATCATTATGTACAGCTGAATCAATGGATCAAGCTCTAAAATTAAGATAAATATAAATCTCGCTGATAATTAAGAAATGAGAATTTTACAATGTATGTTGCACAAGTCGAATTCTTTTATTAGAAATTGCATAAACATTATCCAAACGCTTGTGACATTTTGAAGCTGATTCAATAAAGCCAGTTTTTTGGAATATATGAATAAATGACGATATGACCTCTTCGTCGATAGATAATACGATAAGTTTTTTTTGTAATAAAAGAGCAAATGTTTTTCGGCGATCTTTATTATATCTTGAGGGTGTGGGTATGGTTGAGTAATATATTCAATATCCTCATGGACACCTGTTAAAGAATTGTTACTTGCATGTTATTGTTTACTCTATTATATAATATAAAGAAATTGTGAATAAAAACCTAAGATGTACAATTGTATAATTTCTTCACGATTTGCACAATTGTAATATAATTTTTGTCTAAACGAAGTTCAGGTAGATTGACTGAATACAATGGAAAGCATCGATTGTGTCCTTTATCTGCAGGCACACTTTCACTTAAATGTATAAAAAAACACGTAACTGTTAAAAATAAAGAAAAGAAATATTACCAGTATCGAATATATTTTATATTAATGCTTGTAATCATTCCAATAATTATATTTAGTTGTTGAAAGCGAGTATTGCATGGTAGTTTATTGATTATCATGCTGGGAATCCATAATGACTGTGATATTCTTTCTAACAAAAATACCATCAGAATTAAAAACCATTGTTATAAATGGGGTTTTTTTTCCATCGAGGAGACGTAATAGATGACATATATCTGTAATACATGACTTTGACAGTGAATGACGATGTCGAAATAGTGAAAGAAGTACAACTATTTCTAAAATGGTATGTGTACGAAAACTACTCCAGCTATTTTCTTTTTCTAAAACTAAAAACATTTGGATCAGGTTGCTCTTCGTTGTTATTATCAAAAACTTCATTAGCATTGTAATGTTCTTCAGAAGCTATTGATTGCCAATCGATATGGTCATGGAAAATTTTTGAAAAAATAGTACTTGGAGATATACAAGATGGGACAGCATGTTGTTGAACACGTGAATCAAAACTAAAGAGTAAAATTTCTGTGCTATAACTATGAGCTAAAAGTTTTCGAACACGATCATTTGTAGTCAATAGTTTACGAGAACTATGATGAATAACTTGTGCTATAGATGAATCTGTTAAATAGCTAAAAAATTTCACTTTTTTAAATTACGTAGAAACTACTTTCTAATACCTATTGTTCTTCATCGCAGTAAACTTTTAAGATTAAATAAATTTGTATTGATCTTCATATTGCAAATCTAACTAATTTAATCAATAGTTATGCCTATGAAACTACAAGATTATCTATTTATATGCATATGTCAGTCAATAAGTTCTCACACCTTCCAATATTTATTCATAGAGAAAACATTTTTCTATCTGGTATCATTAAAACCATCTCGTGTTGTTGTTTACAATTTTGTTTCCCTATCTTATATTAAGCCAAATGAAAACATAAACAAATCGTATGATCTTGTTTTACAGTCACAACTAATTACACGCATGTATATCATAAAATGAATTCAGAAAAATATTTTAGTTTTGAGTAATAAGTACCTGATTTTTGTGGCATTTTTTTAGTTGTCACTTTGTTCAAACATGCATGAAAATGAGAAAAAAACATGATATAAACACATTAAATGAGCATAAAGAATGGATTTAAATTTAGTATAGCGTCTGACGTACTTCATTTGTTACGATTCATTTGAATGACGTATGTATCAACATTAGTTTTGAATACTTAAATTCTTTTAATAAACTATAATGATTGTTATTATTATTATTTGAAAAACTTATCTTTTCTAAATTAAGAGAAAAACAAAAAAAACAAAAAGTTCTTTCTTTTTGTGAGATGAATTATGTTGTCATCTCACTGATAAATTTATATGTGCAACGACGCATCTGTTTTTTATTCACATGATGAAATATAGAAGAAAAAGGATGTATTCAAGCACGTTAATATATCCGATACAAGATAAATATAAATTCTTTCTCAAAAGATTCTTCTAACAAGTATTTCCTACAATGGTTAACAACTATACTGAAATGAACCAAGTTAGTGTTAAAGATATTTATCTTCCATCTAATTGGTCTGATATTGTATTTGGATTATATATTTTTGGTGAAGTGATGGCTTTCCCTTGCTATTTATTTGTCTTCTATCATCTTCTGACTCACAAAACAGCAAGTACAACTCTGTACAATCATACTACATTGGTTATGTTATTTTTCAATTTTATATCTCTTACAATAGACATGCCATTAATATTGAGTTTTATGCAACGAGGCGTCTATATACCATTTACTCCTGCTGTTTGTCTCGTTCATCAGTTTGTAAACTATGGAATATGGTATGCTGCTATTTTTTCAATGATTTGGTTATCATTAGAACGACATATTTTAATATTTCATTCAAGCTTAACTCGTACGGCACGTGGACGCTGTCTATTTCATTATATACCACTGGCTATTTTCGCTCTTTATGCGCCAGTTTTTTATTTTTACATCACATTTATTTATCCATGTGAACGCATGTATGATGCTTATACACTAGTATGTGGTGGTCCATATTATACATGTTCATTTTCACAATCGCTTCATTGGTATGTGACGATTTTTCATAGTAGTCTTCCAGCCCCACTCATTGTAATTATTAGTGGTAGTCTACTTCTTCGAGTCATCATACAGAAACGTCGTCTACAACGTGGTAATGCATGGAGACAAAATCGAAAAATGATTCTGCAATTCGTCTTTATATCTGCTACTTTTATAATTCTTGATCTTCCTTTAAGCATTGACAATATTCTGCGAAGAATAGGAGTTGCCAGTGCTGGTACCAATATTGATCTTATTGTCAATCAAATGTCAAATGTTCCAGCAATGGTTTTACCTTATGCTACTGCTATAACTTTACCTAAACTAAAACAGAAACTTCGTATAGTGATATTTTGTAAACCGACTCGTCACAGTGTTAATGCCAGCAATCAACAAACCTAACGATTGACGGATATAAGTGTTGTATTCATCTTTTAGATTCATCTATCCTGACAAATTATGAAGAAAATTTTTCAAAATTAAAAAATAAAATAATTATCAAGTATTTCTTTTATAAAAGTTATAAACAGAATAGAAAAACATGCAATGTAACTGGAAAAGATATTATAAAATGCTTATTATTGATACTGGAGAAACTATATTTGGAATAATCTCACCTTTTTTGAGTGAATTGATAGTTATGAGTGTTGTACTTAACTCTGACCGATCCACACCTTCAATTATAATCTGAAGCAATCATTCATATCTCGTTTATTAAGAAACAGAACAAAACAGATAAAAACATTATAGTGACAATGCATATTTCGAATAATCAATGAATATTTTTTTACTTACAAATTTAATGATATAAAAAATTAAACATGTTAAAATTCTTTGAATTAACAAATATTTGCATTAGGAAAAACTTTTTCAAATGCGACTACTAATTCTTGTTTTGTTTGTTCGCAGATAATAATACTTGTCTTAAAAATAATTAATTTATTAATACGATTAAAACTTGATTGTAAACATTTCTCATTATTAATCATATCATTTAATTCTTTTGGTAATTCTAATTTATTAAATGTAGTTAAATTAGAAATATCTAATATTTTAAGATTTGATGCTAAAAGAATCCAAACAGTTAACATTTTTGAATCAAGTATGTCTTGTGAACTAACAATAAAATGATTAACATTAGGTAAGACCGACATTGATGATGCATCATCCATGAGCTAAAATATTTTTATTATGTAGAAATAAATTCAAAATAAAAACTACTATTATTATACTTACAAGATCATAGATAATATCTACTAATTCCAAATTACAAAAATCAAAGCGTAAACATTGATTCGATGAAGAAAATTTACGATCAATATCATACAAATATTCAAGACTAATCAGTTGATTACTATTATTAGTAATATCAATTTCATTTATATTAGTAAAACGAATATGTGGTGAATTTTGATTTTCTTTGTTAAAATACCAATTATATAGATTATTTTTGAAAGCAAATGAAAAGTGACATGGCATTGAGGCAATTATTGTATTACCAGTATTATTATGTTGAATGTAAACTACAGGACGACGTATATCAAGCCACCATTCACTTTGAAAAGAATATTGACAGGCATTTACATCAATTACCACATTTTGATATACAATGAAAAATGCCAATTTCTTTAATTTTTCACATGATTTGAATATTTGTTCTAAATCATGTCCATCCATTAACTCTCTGCAATGAATTTTAACTGTTATATTCTTAAGAGATGCTTGACAACTATTGATTAGTTGTTTAAATAAATGAAAGGCCATTGATTCGTATATAGTGATATTTAAATAAGCCAGATGTGTCATTCTTTTAAAGCTAACAGTATTTTTCAAATTAATAGTATTATCCCAATCTGGTTCTAGAACATCGATTTTCAGATGAGTTAAATTTGGCATGTATTCATTTATTACAGATAATTGATTTGCAGAGCATATGTTGATTGATAAACGTTCGATAAATGGACATAATGAACTATTAGAATAATCACTTACATCACGAATACAATTTTCTCCATTGATGGAAAATTCTTTTATTCGATGATAAATTTTTCGAAGAACATTTAAAGAAGACACTAAGGCAAACGAAGTAGATGTATCTTCAGTTCTAACAGACATATTCCATTCATCTCCATAAAGATGAATTAATCGAAGTTTTGGAAACGAATAATTATTACCAAAGAGACATCCCAAATATTCATTGCTGACACTCACTATCTCAATTTTAGATTCAAATTGTGATATATGTTCGGCGAGCCATTGATTGTTCGTATCAGATGTTACAGTAATGTGTCGAGCGGAGGCATATACAAGATCATCAAAGCGTTTATTACATCCATGAAATGATCGAAAAATATCAATGATATTCAAGTAAGATAAGATTTGTAGCAATAACTCATTTGGTAAATTTTCGAAATAAATCTTCTGATTGCTGTTGTTGTCTTTATTTGAGAATCCTTTCTGTTTATACATATCCTAAATAGAAAAAAATTATTTACTTATGATTACTATTGAATTTTAAGTTATAAAATCTATATAGGTATATATAAAATCTTTTTGGTATTTCGTTTAAATAATTCTTAAGAAAAAAACGTCAAAAGATACGAATAAGTTCATCGTATTTTCTGTAATATCAAAAAAATTCCCAGTCCACTATTTACCTATTCTATACGAACGAGTGAAATGGCATATTTACATCATATTTTTACTTTATTTTCATTGGAAGAACAAGTAAAAGTGGGTAAAACATGTTGTTTTCATCTTACTCATATTATTGACATACGAAATATATTGAGTAATAACTTGAAAACAAAAAAATCTGCGCTTTATTTTTGGAAACTATTATATTTATACAATAAAGAAAAAAAAATTATGAACAATAAAATTTATATGTTAGTCTATTTAACAAAAAAATAAAATATTGTTTTTTCCTCTATTATATTTTATTTATAAAAATTCAAATTGAGAGGGTGTGGGTATTGTTTATACATGAGAAAACAGATAAACACGTATATTTTCTTTAATTTTTTTCAATACGATAGGTGGTATTTGATTGTATAAGTAGCAAATGAGTTATGAAAATGATTAAAAAAAAAGAAGTGAATATGAGACGATCACTATAAGTATGAACTATTATAATTTGTGACGAAAAAAGATTTTTTTTTGTTGACGTCTCCTATAGTCAAATAATGAAGGAGGGTTTTTGTAGTTATTTTCGTAAGAAGACTATTCAGTTCTTATTTAATTGATATGCAAATTTATATTAGATTACTTAGGTAAATATATAAATCTTTCAGTTTTAATGATAAGAGCGTTGAAATATAATCGTGATTTTATCATATTAATCGACGTTTCATAAATCTTAAAATCTCATATGACAATCTTTTATATATGAATATCTACATGTATGCATTGGTAAATGTTTGCGTATAGGCTTTCTTTTTTCTATGAACAAGCGGCGTTAACGATTCTTTCTTTTATATAAGAGAGAAACAAATCGTCGAACCTGCTTTATTATTTAAAAGCAACATGATATTGCAAGTTATATTCATCTTATATTTACATTACATTTGTAGAGCATTGTCTCTTCAATGTCGCAGCTGCGATCAAAAACTTGATCTAACAGTATCAGATATTAACACCAATATATCTGAATGTAAATTCGTAGATGCTCCGTATGCAAGTTGTTCGCAACGGTTACATATTCGATATGTAAAAAATGAGACTTCTGTAGTTCTACGAGCCAGTGCTGAGGAACCATTGGTATTGACAAATGAAGCACAAATTATGATAAATACTACTTTAATTTGGCTTACTAAATTTCAATTAGAAAGAATCTTTCAAATCGATTGTTTCGACAGCACTCAATGTGAAAAAGATACCATCAATCATACTTATGCTGAAGGTAAGTGTTGTTGTGAAGATAGATACAACTTTCGAACTTAATTTCAAAGTAATCAGGCATGAAACATTACGTGATTGTTTTTCATGGATTTGAATAACTAAAAAAAACATTGTTTACATGTGATATGTTTATTCCATATTTTCTCTGTTTAGTGCGACTTTTTCAGTATACAGAACTATGGGGCAACCTTCTCATACGTTTGTATGATGCTTTTAGCAAACCTGCTGAACTAGTATGTGCAGACGATCAAAATGAAGCCGTGCCTTGTCCTCACGGATTTTGTCAATTAATTAGTAGTAATTTTTTGACATTTTCTCGTGGTTGTATTCCTAAGGGTGTGATAGACAATTCGTACGGTGTCATGCTAGAATCAAAGACAATGCCAGGACAAGGTATCAAATCATCCATCACATACACATGTAATAAGCCGATGTGTAACAATGTCGCTATGGCTAAGGAAGTACAACATTTGTTGGAAACTAGAGAATTGATGATGTCCATCACAACAACAACAACAACCACTACTATGATCACAAGCACATCAACACCCTCATCAAGTGTTATGACAAAACCGATCCTTTACATTCATTATACATTAGCACTTCTAATGGCAATGATTTTCTATAAATGATTTATATTCCTATTTACAACTACTTTTTAAATATAAAGATCATTTTTAACAAGACAATAAAAGAATAAAACTTATTCCTAACAAATACTGTATACCTATAAATCAATTTTTTTCAATCGAAATTCTGTTAGTTTGTATATCTTTCTCAGTAGGATATGAGTATGAACATGAAGCAGAGAGACTAATGAGAATATGGATGTACAGCTCTTCTTCTTTCTCATTCATACCGACACCCACACCCACACACACACCTACATTCAAGATTCGCAGACAAGGGATCTTTCTCAGTTGTTTTTGTCCGACCAATTGTTATCACTCATCACACGAATCTATGTATCGTCGGTATGTTCACAACCACACCAACTAGTTCTGATTTCGCAAGATGTATCACACACAACATGGCTGAATGATGGTTGATGACGTATTTCCTTGTGTTCCGGCTTTCGCATCATGCTAACACTCATACACGTGAATGTAATGAACACGATCGTGGGAATCTGATTAGCAAGACTATCGAGTAATGATTCACAATCTTCTTGCGTGTAAAATCCTAGATAAAAAAATCCTGAAACCATAAGTAAGAATCCATCAGGGTAAGATAAGAAGTAGAGGTGCGACCAAAGCTTTAATTTAATACCAGTTGGAGATGGTTGGCACATTTTGTCCTGATGACGTGTGCAGCATTGAGTCGAACGGATATAGAGAACGAACATCAATGCCATGACTTTGTGTAGTCCGTAGATTCCAGATAGAACAACAATCACGTGCGTCCTACTGTACAGGTATCTCGTGCAAACAACTGCTGTAGTTAAGGTATCTGTAGAGTTGACCAAACAGAAGCTTTTTAGATCAATAGCGCAATTGGATTCGTTGTCGCTTTTAATACACATGCATAATACGATTGATTAGCATATGCAGTGTTGCCACGGTATGCTTCGCAAGATTCTTCGTGAGCATGTTCAGTGACAAGAGTTTGTATAATATAGATGACCAGAAGAGCGAGCTGGCCGGGCAAAGAGCATGAATAGTGACGATAAAAACTACGCTTCGTATGTGCTGGTATCAGTGTCCCTGTTACAAGACGACAAGGGCGTTGAGACGCATCCGATAATTCGATCCATTTACCAGTAGATACTTCCTCAAACGTTCGACTTGACAGCAGAAGAACAATCCAATCACGAGTTGTCTTTGCACAAAGATTGAGCACAATCATCAGTATCAAAGATGTAAGAAAAACACGCATTGGCAGCCACAGAAGGAATTTATAAGTCTCCACTGTGATGGGAGTAGATCCGTGAACATTCAGTTGAAGAGTCATTATTGGAAATTTGCTTCTCAGCGAATATCGTTGTCTGCTTAACTTTTTTTGTATGTGAGAGTATAGGTGTGCTGTGGTGTGACACTTTGCAAAGGGAAATGCAGAAAAGAAAAACCAAACAGTGTTTGTTACCTGTTTCGATCGTCGATGACTAATCTTCGTGCAATTGGAAAGATTTACTGTCCAACAAAAACTCCTTATCTTTGTTCTTTCATATCTTAATGCATATCTCGAGCGTCTCCTGCGCTCGAGAAACAATGGGTTGGAGTGGATGTGGGTGTATAAGTCGTTTTTCTCTCATACTATACAGAAATTATGATTTCTAAAAAAGTGACATGTTATTTCATATGAGTAATCTTATCGTCAGCATATCGTCACTTTATTACTCAACATGGTGAAAGAACCGAATTCAAACAAAGAAGCACAGCCGACTCGAAAAAGGGTGTGGGTGTATGTTCCTTCTTCTTTTCCATTCATAACCACGCCCATCTACATACAATTACAATAGAACGGTTTGCATCGTTCCTCAAAACGATTGATCTGAACATAATCAATCGTTCAGACAAACAATATAAGTCATTCAAGTCACTTGCGTATCAAAGAAATCGAAACACACTATACTAAGCTTTTATTTGTGTATAATCAAACTCATTTCTATACTTTTTCTTAATTATGAATCAATTCTTTCTCAAATTGAAAATATTTCTAAGCAAATTGTATATATTTGTAAGATTATGTCTAAGATTATTTTATCCAACAAGAGAAAAAAAAGAACAATTTTTGAAGTATTTCAATTAATTTATTATAATCACGCTGTATTTTGCCCGTCACCTCTGTTGTTGACATCAATAACCCACAATACAATTAGGTAGATTAATAATTTAATTGTTTACAGCTGTCACATTCGTACAACGATTGTAGCAACCACATGATGGTGCACAACATTTTTGATGTCGTGCACATTGACTATCCTTGATACAACATAGAGAATCTTTTGCACACATCTCTTCCTTAGTATTCGTCGGACAAGCAATGGCACAACGAAACTTATAAGTGGGACATTCACCAGCTAAATTTATTAGAATGTTGTATTTTTATATAAAATAAAATGAAACTTACAATGAATACATTTCGATATTGTCAAGTGGCAAAAGATTAAAAGTAGAAAACCAAGGATAATCGAACGCATGTTACTCATAGTATGAATGACAATGCTTTTTATTAGTTATATGCAAAACTATTAGCTATATATATATATATATATTTACTGTTTGCACTTTAATTATTTTATCTATGATGATTTGAAAAATATTATAAAAGACGTCAGGGACATTTTCTACATTTAAGTAGAATCTTATCTGACGCACAACACATTACTATTGTTATATATCATATAAAATTATCTCCAGATGTGACGTGTTATTGATAGGCATAAAAACAATTAAATAAGTGATGATACATGCATATATTGGAAGAAATGTACCGATTTCTGATAAAAGAAGTCTTTGTGCAGATGGTACTGCACTTTGTTATATTTCTTCTTGTCGACAATTGCATCGGTTCCATACAAAGCATACACTTGTATACCTGTCCGTTAAAGAGAACGCAAGAACATAAAAGAAAAGGATAGTAGGGACAAAATAATAAGAGCAAAGTTAATATAGTTACACTAACTATGGCTGGGCTTGTTGTTGAATTAGGAAAATGTACACAATTCTTATTATAACCAGATTATATTACATATATTATAAAATGAAAATCTTTTATCAGTTTAATTCAATGATCTAAAAGGATATTTTTTACATTCGTATATTATATATAGTATCGAGAAAAGTATTAAGCAAATATAGCAATTTAATTCTATAACAAATATTCATGATTTGTTTTTATTTAATAAATGATTCTAAGACACATAATTTTTTAATATTATAGAGGAATATAATTTGATAAAACTGAAACTGGTGCATTTCATTTGTCAGTTATTCAACATCTTCAGCTATATTTTTAAAAATTCAAATAAGTTTTAGTTGCTGAGTATATAGTGTTTACATATAAAATTTGATAAGACTATAATAGGAATAATTTGGTCAATAACAATTTCTTTTCAGAGAATACGTTAGACGATAATTTTCTTTTTGTTAAAAACACAGTAGTGCAAGCGCATTTATTTGCAAAAAAAGAGAAGAACCAATCAATGTAGAAATATTCTCTTAAAAGAACTGAAAAAAAATTTCTTTACTTTTCTCTTACATTGTCTTGACGAAAAGAAATTTAAGATAATATAACGTTCAATAGATGCATTACTGAATGTTGTTTTTACATTTTCTACTCGTAATCAATGTGATAAATCGCCGTCTAGATAAAAATATAGAACGCAAAAAATTCTCCGCTTTTGAGGAAAAAAGAAAAAAATAGTCGTTAGAGTAACGTTCTCGGTTAGTTATTTACATGCATAATTCATCACATATTTAATAATTTATTTCAATAGAACGTACGACAGTAATGATGTCTGAACAACATCTAGTTTCTCTTCTAACTTTGCCAACTGAACTTCTTTATCGAATTTGTGATTTTCTCGATACTGAAACAATCGTTCTTTCATTTCGTCATATTTGTGTACAATTATTTGCCGTTACAGAAACATATAATCGATATAAA